CAAATGCAACCTGCTTAATGTCAACCCTCTGCACGCCTTCTGTGGTGGCTGAAGTTCCTTTCAGCATTTCCATCCTGCTGCAACTGGAATTAGATGGATTTGTTAATTGCTGAATTTACTTCTGCCCAATGCTGTAGACTTCTCCCTCTCAGCAGCTACACGGAGAGATTTGGTGGTTTCCTCTGTTAGAACACTGCAGCAGCTTTGTAAAGGATTGCTCTGACTGCCTTGAGCCCCAGATCCCTGTGTGGTGATAACTATGAGCACCTTTTAGCTCATCTAAGTGCAGAGAAACATATTCATAATGAGAAAGAGCAAATGTTTGCAAAAGTGCTCCAGGGAGAGCAGTAGAGAGAGCATTCGGATGGAGCAGCACTCCTGTCTAAGGGCTGCATCCTTGGAGGATGCTGCTGACCACAGCAACGTTCCCACCTCGGATTCTTTTTTCTGCTTTTTTATTTTTTGAAGATTTGCGCTTGGAAAGGTATTTAGCTTTCATTTAAGGTAACTTTTAGTGAGTTATTCTCCTACTTACTGGCGGTTTCACTCTTCCATTCTCTCCCACACCCCTTTATGAAGGATCAAGGTCTGATTTTTCAGTCAAAGGCAGAGTGAGAGGAGATGGTCCACAAATATGACTTTTCTCAGTCTGACTACTGATGATTTTTGTTGCCAAACTCATAATTCTTATCCCTGCCTGAATATGTGTAAAAATTTCAGTGAAAAAACTCTGTTTTTCTGCTCTTGTTCCTGATGTGGTTTTGATTAGGAAAATCTGGGATGCAGCGCTGTGCAGAAGAGAAACAGCAAACCTGGACTGCACTGCACAGTGGGTTATTTCAAGTACAGTGGGTGGGTGTAGAAAGACATTGCATTTAGAATAGATACTACACTTGACAAGAGACAAAAGCTGAGTATTCCACACACTGCTAATCTTGCTAGCTCTAATTTTATCAGAAAGTCGGTTGAGCTGATTTCCATATCCTGTTTCTTTCTGTTCAGTGAGTGCACTCACTTTGGCCAGTTATGTTTGTTGTGTGTGTTTACTTCCCTAAATTCATGGAAATGAGTGTTATCTTTCTTTATTTGCAATAATAAAACCAGAGAAAGCTTTTATATCAACATGGACAAAATCAAATTTGTGAAAATATTTTGTCTTTATGAGGGTTTTATTTGAGTCTTTAACTCATTTAATTTCCTGAATTTAGATTCAATTATATGTTCTTCCTTTAAACTGTATTCTGTTGTCCATGCTAGAATAGCTCTTCTTGTGACAGATGCAGATATTAATGAAAACTCTTGATCTGGTGTGTAGCCATTATTGAACACTTACAACACAACCTGAATTTGTAATTGTTTTCTAGCCCTGGAGAAAACAAACTGACATCAGAGATGTGCCTATTCAGTCACTTAACTGATCTGGAGAGAATCTCAAGGGGCAGGGAGGGAATGGATTAGGATGATGGGAGTTTGATCTGAGGGAAGCATTGTTCTGGATTTGTAGTTGGTCTCTTTTATTATAAGCTTTATTATATAGCTTATTATTCTATTACTATATTCTGTATCATTCTTTAATTACTCAATTATTATATTGTAGAATATATCTGAGTGAAATTGAACATAGGTTTGTATCGAAAGAGAGGCTCCTTTTTTCTAGAAAAACAAAATGGATGGAAGTCACTATATTTAAATATGATTTAATTTGTTACTGTTTAGAGCAATAGGATGTTACTTCCTTCCCTCTGCTCTCTCAAGTCTAGGGCTGGGTCTCATGCAATAAATCCTTGCATCACAACTATGTGGACTGAATATAGGAAAAAAGATCACATTCTTAAACCTAAGACTTGTGCTGGCATTCCAGTACCTAATGGTATTTATTTAACATTATTTCTAATGCTATGAGTGACAGGAGAAAGGTTAGATGAGAAGAAAAGGCACAGTGGTGTGCATGGATATATGTTATGGCATTACAGTTGAGTCTTTGGAGTGTGGATTAGGTTTTTGTGCAACTTTCCCAAAACAGTGAAACTCCAGAGGACTCCAGAACTATGGAAGTGAACACATAGAAGCCCAAACACAGGAAGCTTGGTATGTTTCTACCTTTTTCCCTTTTTCACAGTCTATTCCATGTCTGTGTTGTGTTTAGTTGCTGGTATTTACTGGGTGTCCTGCAAATGAAGAACTGATGGTGAGGGCAGCAGAGAACCCATCGGTACTGAACAGGAGATGTGGCAATGAGCACAGGGAACAGACTCTGACAGAGGCCTTGGCTCTAACACCAGGTGGAGCATGGGAAGAGACAAAACATCTCGGGGGAAATAGGGGAGGGCGAGTGACAACAGAGGTACATTACTGTTTTCTCACTAAGAAACAAAATTCCCTAGTAATTTGTCAGGCTCTACCTTTTCAAGCTGAAATTCATTACTACATCAAAGTGAATTCCTTGCTACAAACAGAATAAATGTCTCTATTTAGAATGTAAATGAGAAAAATGTATGAATTACAAGACATTTTAAGACTTGTGAGTGGCTGGCTGGCTGGAGTTAGTCTTATTTTAGAAATTGGCTTTGACATAATTTGATAATAAGTAATAGGCTTAGTTTCTGATTCTCTAATAACTTGAAATGCAGCAAATCTTTACTGAATGTGTGAGCTGCATTACACATGAAGTGTACACAGGCAAGGGGTGTGTGGGGGGTGGGTTTGGCTGCTTGGTTTGTTTGCAGATTGCCTGCCTCCCTTCCTACAATGCCCTCACTTCCATATGTCAGCAGGAGAGAGGGTTGAAGTGAGTCTTGCCCCACGCTGAATTATGCCAGCTTGAGGATGTTGTCCTTTTCTAGAAGAGCTTGGGAGCCCTTCAGGGGTTAGAAGCACATAACTGGAAGCTATGTGCCTCCTCTGCTTGGAGGAGAAACCTGCCTGAAAATGCTGTATTGGACAATTCTTGGAAACAGACATCTGAATGCAGACGCATTCTTGTCAAAAGGAAACCCAGAAAACATTTGCACAGATGTGGTTGACACAGGAGGTCATGATCTCATTTCATATGTCACTGCTTAATTGTAGCTGAGATAATTACAGACATATGGCTGTCTAAATATGAAGTCAACAGGAAGGTATCCAGCTACGTGTGGTACTACAAGTAAATCAGATTTCACTGCAACAGCCAGCAGCTGAGGCTATTAGGTGAATATTGGGTGTTCCCTGACAAAATTTATCTTTAAAAATAAAACCAGAACAAATTTAGATTTATTCATTCTTGTACGTCTTTGTGGGCTGGTACCAATATGGATAAAATTCACATTAGTATCTCAATGTTCAAATAATAACCAATATAGAATTTAGTTAATTATTTGTGTATTTTTTCCAAAACATGACAGGATGAAAACTGTGTCCAGGAAAAGGTGTAACATGCTGCCTAAACCATTTGGGTTGGTGCTGGCAGATCTGGCAAATGCCCAGACAGTGAGGTGTGGATGGTTTGTTTCCCTGGCCACAGCTGGGTCAGCACTGTCCCTTGCTCAGGCCCTGAGCAGCAGCTGTAGGTGCAGTAAAGCCCTCAACAGAGGCTTGTCTGTAGGAACAGAACCAGCACTAAATGTCCCTGTGCTTTTCCTTTGATAGGGTTATCTCCAAGTACTTTTTTTCCCTCTCTTTCCAGAAGGCCTCACCTTGGGGCCACACCATTATCACGTCTCTGTGGCTCATACCCACTGCAGCAAAGATGTAGCTTTGGTATTTTTGCTCCAGAGGACTCCAGAGCTGCTTGGGAAGCCCATGGGTGTTTTTGCAGGATTCTGCCTTTGCTGCATGCAGTGAAAGCCACTGGTTTGTTCCAAGCTCAGTGAGTTTCCTGCACAGCCATGAACAGACACCACTAATTACATTATTTCCTGACTGTAAAGCTAGAGGATGGGCTCTCCTCTGCTGCCTGCTGTCATGCTTTTAAACCATTTGTGAGCAGGGATTAGTTTTTGTTCCTGTGTGTAGTGAACTGGGGTTGAACTCCTGTGGTGCTCACACTCAGATTTGGGCACTCCACCCCAGATCAACTGCTGGGGTGAATGATTTGTCCAGGTCACAAGCACAGACCCGCATGATGAGCTCTGGCGAGGCTTTGTGTGCCAGCTTGTGCTTTTTTTGTTGTTCCCAGCTGCTGTGGGCCAGGAGCAGCTGCACAAACCCACACCCATCACCCCATGACTTTCCCTGCCAGCCAGACTCTCTGGGGGTGTATTTGCAGCAGTTCTTGTAAACTGAGATTTCACACAAGCCAGTGAAGACATACTTCAGTTTTATTGTTGTTTAGGCATGGATAGAAACATTAATTCTTTTGCACTCCTGGTTCTTGAAACTTGCCTATAGTGAACTCGGAGCAGTGAAAAGCCCAGCTCCTCAGACTGACGATTTAAAGTGCATAGGAGATCAAGCAGAATCCCAAAAGGCGAGGAGTTGTTTATATTCCTTTTTCTGTAGCTGTGAAAGTTGAAGGACTTTTTTTTTTCTCCTTGTTTGCCCTATATTCCCCTGACAGTGGTATGAAAATTTTCAGCCCTTCCCTATGCTTTCCCTTTGGAGTTTTCTCTATCTTTGGAAGATTCCTCTCTGTATTTAAGAATTATTTGTAGTGTTATAAACAAAGAGAGGTGATAGATGCACGCTCCTTGACAGGGCTCTGGTACAACTTTTCCCGTTCAGAGTCATGCCCACTGAATTTGTTTTTTCTTTTAGAAAACGTGTATCGCTTGGCAGTGTTCTTGCACCAAAAGAAAAAGATATATTTATATATAAAGTAACTTTTTTGTGTGTTCACGTTTTATTTTGGAAAAACAAGTGTTTAAAAATTTTAGAATTTTTTTAACAAAATTCTAAAAAGAAAAAAAATCACAATATTTACAGAGATAACAGAATGGCTTAGCCATGCAAAACAAATTACTTTGGTTTTTCCCCCATTTTACTTTGGTTTAAATATTGACCAAGATTATAATTTTTTTTTCTTTTTGCCAAATAAAACAGTAACAAATTAAAGTTTAGAGGCATATAACAGGATTTCCCTCTAGTATTTTATACAGCATAGAGTTTATAGGACATTTTATGTATTTAATCCATGCCAATGCACTACAGGAAGCTTTTATTAAGACATCAGTCACTACTGCCCAGACATTTAACATTTTACAAATTTACAAGTAACAGTGTTTTCTGCCCCCTAAATAATGCAAAAGTGGCAAAATACATTTCCTAACGTCCATCTTTTTCTTTTATTTATTTATTTATTTATTTATTTTTGCTTACCAGTCTATAAAAACTTACTTTTTCCCTGGATATTTGTAAATGGAAACCTGATGTTCTGCTTCTACTGTTCCTCTCCATCAAAGCTGCCTGTTACCTTCTTCCAGAAACTAACTTTCCAGATAAGATGATACTTATCTCCCTTAAATACAACTTTCTATTGGCCATTCACCCTAAAACCTTTTCTTATCAAGTACCATTCAAAAAAAATTCCCTCAAGCAAAAAACATGTTTATAAAGTTACAAACTTGAATGTAACTAAAGATACATAGACATTTCATTGTTACAATTATATGTACTGTTTGATAAATTAGGTACCAGTTAAAAACACTAAAATTATCTCAAGGTGCATTCAATATCTGTAGCATAGTTAACAAAAACACACAAAAAATATATATATATATATATATATTCTATTTTTGTGGGAAAAAATGCAGCTTTGATATGACCACTTTTTAAAAAAAGTTTCCAATTCTGACTGGTATCTCTCTGAAAAGAAGGAAAGGTACAGTACTTTAAGGCAGCGAATAACATAAAGGAATCAAAATTAATCCACAATTCCAGTTCCTTATCCTAATGCTAACATGAAAGACGACTGATAACCATCAATAAAATGTGTGTCTTGCTCTAGAAGAAAAGGATTTTTTAGCCACCAGCTGTATGTAAGCTAGGAATTTTTCATAGTGTTCCTTACTCAATACCCAGACTTCTTCAGGGAAACTCTTTATTCCCTTTCTAGCTTGTTTAGCTTTGCATGGTTTTTTAAATGTTCACTGTCATTAACAATTTAGTTCATTCTTGTCATAGCTGTCACCCTTTTGCTTTACCACGATTTCAAAGAATGAAAAAGGAGTTTGACGTTTTCCTTTAAGACAATCTTACACTCTAGGTACTTGCTACAAAGCAGAGGCTTCACTGAAAACAACCAGAATCAGACATGTACCTGCTCAAAGGGTGTCATAAAAACAATTGAAATAAAACCATTACACTATACATCAGATTAACAGCAACTCCCAGAACAAAGCCTTACAGTGTATAAAAATAGCTACGTAAAAAATTTACATAAAGGCAAACAAAAAGAAATCTTCAGTGCAGACATTTACAAAAAAATATTTCAAACAGAACACAACATGGTGACCTATTATCATGGCTGTTGCCAAAATTAGTTTGTGGGGTTTTTTTTTAGCTTGAGATAATTGTGTCTAAAATCCTTTGAAAACCTGGTAGAATGATCTGCTTAATACTTGAACCATGAATAGCTGTCACTTCTTTGTATATGTTTAAATACAATCCACGTTCATGCTTCAATTGGTCTATATGTATTCTCTGAAAATATGAAAGATAAAGCCAGTTAAATATTTTAAAATATGTTAACCATCACAACTACTCATTATCTACACTTTATATAAACAGCTACATGAACAGTACTTCCTTCTGCAGCTCAATGATGTGAGCTCTTTCATGGCAAGAATTGCTGTTGCAATATTGTTCCTGGCAAATCCAATAAATTTATGTAGTAAGTAATGGATTTATGTTCATCTCATTTATGCTGATCTACTGATCTGAAGGAATACAGAGTAAATTATTAAATCAAAGGCACACAATGTCTTTATGCAGCAACTTTTTCAAAACCCAAATTGACTTGTTTTCCACCTTTAAATCCTTCCTAGGACATAATTTTGGTATTCCCAATCCCCTTTTCCAAACTAGTGAAACAGTGATATTGCTGGTAAAGTGCCTACAGCAATGCCACAGCTCTTTGTATACTATATAATTGCTCTATATAATCCAATAAGTTCTAAATATTTAAAGCAAAACTTGTGGTTTGCATTTGAAAAATTTGAAAATTTCAAACAATACTGATATATTGAAACTGTTGACAGTTGCACTCATTTAAATAAGAAACCTTGTTATGTAAATATGAAATATCATAATTCCACATGCTTTAGACCCCTGCTACCTCAAGAAGCTATCCAGTGCTATTTACTTAAGAGCACTGAAAACCAGGGCTGTCTACAGCTTTCCTGTGGAGGAGCTTACAATGCAAGCACCCTTGGACATGTAATACTCTCCTTTTTAAGAATAGTTGATGACTAACTCAACAAACCTCTCTATGGTTAGCTGGTTTCCAGACTCTTGTGTTATCCTAGTGTTAATTTTAAATGGCCTAAACTGGCCAGAAGAATGGTCTACCCCCCTCCTTTGGGTACTAGGAGGAGAGCTGCAGCACTGGTGTATATTTGTGTGAGCACAGGGTGGTGCTCTTGCTGCTCTGTGGTGCTCCTGTAATTCCCAGCAGAACTTTGGCATCTGCCAGATCATTTGTAAACAGTTTACTTCATACAGATCCCAGCAGGGGAAATGTTCAAACTTGTTACTAATGTAATACATGGTGTCTCTTTCCAGGATAAAACTGGTCACAGTACAGGTGTGTGAAATTTGGACTAAAGAGAATTGTTTTGTTCTAAGGGAAGGAAGTTTCGTGACCTTTGCATTAATGATGAAGAAAGTGACCAAGGAAACTGTTGCTTTCAGTAAAAGAAGTTCCTGTAAATATTTCAAGTCGTAACTTTAAACTTCCTGAACTCTACCTAGCCATACTCTTCATATAAAGACATACGTATACATGCACATGAACCACAGTGGTATATTATACAATCCTGTATTTTCATTTCCTCAAGCACATACATTAAAATAAAGCCAAGTATTAAGTTCCATCTAAATGTCAGGCTTCTTTTTATATTTGTATGTGCAGCTCTGAATTCTTAACTGGCCAAAAGCTTGAGTCTGTCTGTCCTAAAACTATACCACAAAACGACCCCACTACTGCTTTGCCTCTGGAAGGTGAGCGCCAGACCAAGCTAAAGCTTTGATCACCAGAGAGAAATGGTGGACAAAGAGATCTTAATGCTGTAACATGAAACACTTACCTGGAATGATGACTGACACATTTTCTCTTAAGTTTCAGATTTATGATTGTTTTCCTCTAGTTTTTTGTTTTCTTCTATATTTCCAAGATCTTTGTCTACATGTTTTGATGCTGTCCTATAATGTAAAGGAAGGTCATTTTTGCACGTCCACAGCATTTTGTTCCATACTCATATTAATGACACTGCCTCCTCCCCTCACAGTGAACAGAAAATTTTGGCAGTTCTGTTCTGAGCAGAGCAACAGGTTTGCATATGTCTGTAAATAGGTCAGTGACACCAGATCCCCCAGTGCTGTGAGTACCACAGGAAGCACTGCAGCAGGACTCTGTGCGTTTGATCTACCTCTCGAGGAATTCAGAATCATTCTGAGCTAGCAGACATTTAGTAAAGTTAAACCAGTTGAGGAGATCCATGTTTCTTGACAAAGTAATTGTGCAGCTTGTTTCAATAAACATGAGTCTGCTTTAAGGGGTACTAAAAACAAGTGTGGCTAAGATATCTTGATCAACACAGCAATCTTTTGTGTACTTGTAGTAAATGACTTTCAGAGCCTGTGCCAAACGGAAGCTCTTTAAATGTGAAGAAATTCATGAAAATTCTGACAACACTGAAAAAAAAAATAAAAAAATCTCACTCTGGCTTGTAGGTCTGTGTTAGCTATGACTGACAAGCTTTGGGTAAAGATGAGATTGTGTAAATGTTTGAGGGGGGAAAAAAAAGAGGTATGCCTCATTTAAAATAGCAGGTCCTCCTTAATGCAAGTAGTGGTGATGAATTAATGAGTTAAGTGCTTAGTTTAGCTTAGCACAATAAAACCACTATGCCATTCACTTAATCTGTGAGAAGCCTCACTGTCTGCCAAGGTGAAAGATTCCTGCAGTGCTGAGATAACATTTTGAAGGTCCCAATTTTTAAAATGTAAATGGGCAAATGTATTTGAGTGGGACAAAGTAAATCCCTTGTGTCAAAGCAGATTATCGTATCCGCATTTTCTCTACAGATAATTTGTTTCCCCTGCAGAAAAGTACGGTCTGCTGTGACAGACTGATGCATATGCTCACCCTTGCTTCAGGGTAAAGACCCGGAGTGACGCTGACTCGCAAAGTACAATGAAGACACAGGTTAGATAGTGTGACAGGGCACGCTGACACCATGCAGGAATGCTCCTCCCAGGCCGGGATCATCGCTACTGGGGCGCTCCTGTGCACATCCTCCATCTGAGCAGAGGCCGGGACAGTGGCTGCACGCTCCCTGAGGACCCTGGAGCGGTGCTGCTGGGGCAGGGAACTTTAGTCCGTGTCTCTGAAGAGCTCCCGAGACAGTGCAAACACACCAAACCCCTGCCCACCGCTGGGAGTGCTGCTGAAATGCTGCTCTCCAGCCTGAGGTGCAGTGCCAGGGGAGCATGGCATCCCAAATCCCACAGGCTACACCAAAAGGGACCACTCTAAAAAAGGTTTAACGTTTTAAAACTGCATTGATCTTCTGCTATTGGTTTAGGGTGTCTCTGTTATGTTTGTGTGACTGACAGGAAGGTGTCATGCTGAAAACCCATTTACTGCCAAGATCTGAGCTCCTCTTTATTACAGGCAAATTTAATTCTAAAAGTGCTGAGATAGTATTACAAAGTAACTTGTTCTATGGTGGTAAATTTCTATTGTGCAGTAACAATCTATTTTTTTCTGGTATTCAAAACCTGAAACACGTGACATGAATAAAAGGAAAGGATGTGAAATGCAACGAAGAAAATTCAGTGCTTTGGTATACACTGACCTGTGAGCTTAATAACCTTTCACAAATCTCTTTAATCCTAACAAAAAAGAAACAACCCCTCAAAACAAAATCCCTTGAAAATTAAAAAAAGTTTAAATTTAAAACATGTTTGGTTTAGGTTGAGCACATAATTTGGCTTCTCATGTGGCTAATGAGTCTTTTCCATAAATAAGTCTCACAAAATCGGAGACAATAGGGGAAGAGATGAAAAGCTGAAATAATCTGGACTCAGGCAATTACCTGAGCTGAAGAGAGTTGGATGTGAGAATGCAGTATCATGCTCATCTGTCCTCATATAACTGCTCATGTCTGCTCTTGGAGACTGGATAGCCTACTGGCGTGGCTCACTGGGATTTTTTTGGCCTTTTATCAGAGTTTTACAGTGCTCAAATCAGACTGAATCTCACCTGACACTAACAGCAGAGGGAACAGTCCGATCTTTGATTAGGTTAAAAGTATTCAATGACTAATGTCAGGACATTCTGCAGTGCAATCAGGTTTTGATTTTTAAAGTAATCTATTTTAGTTCTACATTCATTCAAACTAAATTTCACCTTTATTTTCCTAAAGCCACACTGGACAAAAATGGGAGACTTAAGGGGCAACACTAACTTTGAAAGAGGCAGGTGCTCCAGAACTCTTTTGGAGGATGTTACTAACCACTTGTTTGAAATGAGAGCAGCGGAAGTTTGTCACATCTGACAATCAGATGGATTTAGATTCTCAATGCCTGAGACTGAAAGGCAGCTGTTTATTTATGATGGTTTGGTGATCCTGCTGACCTGGCTTTTTGCTCCCCAAATACCATTATCTAGACAGATTCACCACCTCAGCACAAACAATGCTGCTGCAGTTTCTGGTGCTATCTAAATGGTGTCAGTAATAGACACAGGAGTTATGTTGCACGGAGGTGTGGTCCACAGGCAGTGCTCTGCCAACAGCAGAGGAACAGCCGCCCCTGGCACGGCACCAATCCCCAGGGCTCGACAGACGTGGCTCGGGTTTCTAACAGAAACATCTCTAAACACGGGTTCCATCGCTTCCTGAGGTGACTTCAGCCACAGGACAAATGGTCCTTTTCCAGCTTAACATTCAACAGTTGTTCCTTACTTTTTTTGGGGATTAATTCCTGCCAGCTTGCTCGGTTTGCAACTCAAGATCGACTTCCTCATAAAATCTGAGTAGCTGGGCAGTGGAGCCTGAACCGATAGAAATATTCCCAAGGATCTACCCAAAAGGGAAGACAGCCCACTTTGCCCAGACCTGGAGCACTCTCACACTGTCATTACCTGCAGGTCCACAAAAAAAATCCCACACCTTTGTATGCTGTTGTTCTGAAGAGTGAGAAGTTGGTTGTGTAAATATGAGTTTACTCACTCTTTTTTTTTTTTTTTTTCCTTTAAATTAATTTGTAAATCATGGTTCATTCTGAGCTCTTGCTAAGATTATGACTCATTTATCTATGCTTGCTCTTCAGGAAAATAATTATCCTCAGGGAATCCTAATCAAAATCTCTCTGTAAGTAGTACCAAAGTGAGATTTTTAGCATTCTTTGGAGTGTGTGTGCTGTGGGGCCACTATTTTAATGGATCTTGTTTAGATACTGTTCATAGCATTGACTGTAATATGAAGACCATTTTCCATGATAATTGTCTCGCCTGCTGTAGTGTAAATACAGACTACATATAGGTGGCCCAAAAATTTCTGTGGGGGTTTTAATTTCTGATTTCTTTTAATCTCGCAAGTTAGGCCTTGCCCTCAACACTATTTAAGGAAGAAAGCATGCAGTGCTGTTTGGCCTTGTTAGCCAGCCTTGTGATTATGACAGGAAAGATGATGCACATCTGTGCAGTTCTGGGTGCTGAAGCAAGAGCCATGAGTTTCATTAAAGCTACACTCAACTGCACTGTTGCAAATGATTTTCTAGGAGCTAATGGTTTTGTACATCCCAATCTGGACTAGCTGCAACCTCCTTATTTAATCCAATCTTATTTTCAAATGTCTATCAGTAGGAAAAACCACAGGGATATTATAAAAATATTCCAGTCATCAAGAAATGGGTGACCATTTTTAATTTGTGTCACTTTTATATTAGATTTGTGTCATGACCTGAGACTTTGAGAGATGTTTGGTAACTATGTCTTTTCTCTGAAAGGGAACTGGGTGAAAACCAATACAAATGCTAAGTCTTGTTAAAAATATAGTGATTTTCTCACATATTTGGCCCACCACATCTGACTCATATGGTTGTTTTCTATAAAGGATCAGAAAAGCAGAATTCTTATGCTTGAAGTGTTCGGTTTCAGAGACGCCAATAACCTCTGTCATTACTGTGACCTAAGAAACATTTCAGGAGCTTGATGTGCTCTAAGTGTGAACAACTTTAAGACAGCTGTCGTGATTCAGCTGGCCCAGCTGAAGTTTCCTTCACTGGATGTTGAACCCCTTTAACCTTGATCTAGTCTCATGTGACTTGAGATTTGGGCACCTCCAAACTCCAGGGACAAAACTGGGGCCAAGCTACATGCAAACCTCCATGACTCGAGAGCAGGGGACAGGGTGCTGAGCACTCTATTTCCTTTCTGAATCTTTAATTTCTGCTGTACCCTCAGCAGCTTCTGGCAAGGTGAAAATTTCATATATGAAGCATTTACCTCACATGGGTGCCCTGCAATCTCTCAACTGAGGCCTGACACAAAAATTTTAGAAAGATTCTGAAGTGCTGAGTTATATTCTGTTCTGTGCAGATTCGTTTACAACACACTTCTTGGAAAAAGGAGAAATCTGCAAAGAACAAGTGTCTGGCCTTCTGCTCAGATGAAGGAGAAACAAGGCATGCTGGGGAAGGTGGCCTCAACTCTACATTCCAGAGGAGGCTGGTTACAGGATGGGGAATACAGATGAGTCTCTGATTTATGGGATAATATTCACACTGAAAAGAATAGGTGGCAATAATCAGCTTTTCCATCCAGTGGAGCTGAGGCAGTGAGTAACTGTACAAGTGATTTATTGTGAATGTATTTCAAGGCTACAAGTATAATTCCTACTTAGTGTGGATGACAAGACAATAGAAGATTATACAAACCACAACACCAATAACAAAAAAAGTAATGTTTTTCTTGCCTCGGCAGACTCGGAAAGTTCTGTGCTGCTGCCTTCTCAGACTTTCCTTTGGCGTCACTTTGGGGATAGAGATTAGGTGAGTTACTGGTCAAGGGTGGGTTCAGAAAATAACTACTACCTGCTGGCCTGGATGGAGATGGGGGGATTGTGTCCAGAGGTGTAAGTTGCTTTTTGCAAGGTCTACTTTGATTTCTAGGCCATGATTCATAATGAAAACTTTGTCAGAATAGGTACTGACATTCTGCTTGCTCCTGCAAGTATGGTGTGCAGAAAGCAGGGAGGATAACAACAAGATCAATTTAAAAATAGACAGAGAACAGGAGATTGTCAATGATGATATATCAATTAAGGGGCTTAGAAGCCAGCAACCATGTGTAAAATCCCAAGACTATTATTTAACTATAAAGGCATTTTTGTTTCCAGTGAACCTGTCTAGTCAATTTTAGCTCTAACTTCTCCTCTCAGCTTTAGGAAGAGAAGCTGAGCATGAGGAAAAAAAGTGGTGTCCATTTCAAATTACTCTATATCCTATCTTTGAAGCAGAAAAAAACTACTGTAATTCATAAATTCATCTCATGCTATATTCTATGATTCCTGTCAGTTCTCCCCACACTACTCAATGGTGTAAGAAGATATATTTTACCTTCTCTGCCCTTGTTATACTCAAACCACCTCATCCAAAGAAATCCAAAGCAGTGTACCACAGTTTTGTGACTCCACATTCACGCATTTGAAAAGGAACGACAAAGTTACCACAGACATTTTTGCAACAGTAGCAAAGTATGGGAGGAAGAGAACTATGGTTTTACTTTTAATTTTTTACAAAAAAAAATGCATAAGCTTCAGAAAAAAAAAACAAAACCAAAAAAACCCTCTATAGTATCTGAATGTGGTTCTGTGCATGGGTAATTTATAACAATTCTATATTTGAAAAACTTCAAAAACCTGATTAGTTGTGGTTGAACCAAAGTCTTTACGTATTATCAAAAAACCCCAGAGCATTTCTTAGCTGATGGAGAATTCCTTGCTGTACTTTCTCATCAGTGAAAACACACTTGTTCACAGCAAAATCCCACTGGTGTATTTTAGATTTCATTTGATTCAATTTCAATGGAAGATCATACTAAAACCAATTGAACTTGCAGACTGCTTTTACACCTGTACTGATTGGAGCCTGTTATGCACAGCCACTTAACCTCCCCTGCTCAGAAGCAGCTGTAAGAGCTGTCAGAAAGACAGCCTGCTCCTGACTGCCCTCAGCTCTCCCTAGAGACAAAGGAATGGGAGCAAGACCAAACAGGGCACACAGTATTAGCCAGCTTCAAAAGGATGGAGCAACATGGTCACTTCTTGACACCTTCCCATTTATTTTCTGAAGTGAGCCTCTGTGACAAGGACGAAACTTGAAAGCAAGCAGGCATCACTTGAAAATGCTATTCTATGCCTATGATGGCTAAAACCTGGATTGGGATGAGAGCTCCTAGATTTTTCTGCAACAGAAGCTCTATTTTTACCAATTTTATTTCAAAATCTCAAAGTACACATGAACAAAACAATTAAGGATCCCTTTTCTCCCTGAGATGGTTGATACATATTCTGTATGTTATTCCATTTCTAAAGGAAACAAGCTAGCCAATTTCTAAATGAAGGCAGTCTCTAGCATCACTACAGCCACACAGACTTCCACACATCAAGTTCCACAATTAAGGACCATATTTAAATACAAGAGTCAGCACAGACTTGGCTGTCAGGAAACAGGACCTCATTACTACTGTGATCTATGAAAATCTTAGAACTCCACCTCCAGGAGATGAGTCTCATTAAGCATTAGGACAAGCCAATCAGAGGTACTAAGTTTCCTTTTGCTATCAAGTACACCTACTGTAACAGCTTTTCCCCACTCCAGAAAACTGGAATGCTGTAGAGGAAGGAAAACAGGTAAACATAACATCTCTGCTTATCACTGTTATTTTTGCAGCTTAGTATAAAGTTTTCAAAAAATTCTTACTTTGATTTCTTCACATAGAGCCAGTAGACAACACCTGCAATCAGAGCAACCAGCAGAAGGCCAACCACAATTCCCACTATTAGCTTTGCCTGGTCATTAACCTTTTCACTATTGTCATCTGAAGCAAAGAAGAAAAGTTAATGAGATGACCTATGGTAAAGTAAAGCATTACATACAACATTTCTGAAGAATTTTCACCAGCAACAAAAAAAGGGATTAGAAAGAAAAAAGAAAAAGAAAAAAAAAAAGAAAAGAAAAATGTAGACATTGTTCTTTAAATGCATTTTTAACCTTCAAGAAAATCACACCTTAGTCAATTACGGCACCAGCTATTTCAAATCAAGTCCAGCTTTAAGGGATTTTCAGGGACTTGTGCAGTGAACTGAAAAGGTCTTGAACTGAGACAAAAGTAAGGGCTACAGAAAGAGGAAACCATACATACCACCTCTATCCTCTGTCTCATCATACTCTGGAATACTTACTGAAAGGAAAAATGTTAAAATTAAATTACAACACATATTAGACCTCAAGATCACCTTTAATTACCTATTCAGAGCAATGACAGAAACTGGAACAGTGTTTGCCAAACAAGATATTTAATCCCATCTTTAAACAGAAATCTTTATTTTGTAACTCCACTACATCCATTAGAATAATCTTACGCTAAACCTATAATACTCAAGTCAGAAATATTTTTGATTGAGTATTTTTGTGCTACCTTTCCATAGCTTCTCACTACCTTTCACCATGAAAATGTATTTTAATGTGATTGAAGCCCAGTATGGCTGATTTCTGTTGTGAGTCAAGTCATACCAGTAACAATAATCTGGAATTTAGGGACTAAGAGATAGTGTTAATTTTGTAATACAGCAAGACCTCTGTCTCGTAAACTAAATACTACTTTGCAGTATTTTGTACTATTATGTCATTCTATTATTTTGTAATAGTGTTTGGTTTTGTAAATAGAGGCTGCTAGCCAAGAAAGCCATGAAGACTAAGAGACTTATTGTAGAAAACTATCAATAAATTTTATGTACTACTGATCCAGAGTGGATTTACAATTGCTTGACTTAAGACAAAAAGGTTAAATATCTTAGTATCAACATTACTATGCAGACCTACTCTTCATTTGAGCGTGATGTATGGCTACTTTATGAGAAACTGTAACTTTAAGGAAATTATCTTTAGAGGACACTCACTAGCAGAGACGTTCATGGAGGTCACAGTCCTTTCTAGCTCATTTTCTGCAATGCAAGTTAAAGTTACATTTTCCTCAGGAGCAATTACAATTTTACTGGAAAATTTCCCATTAACATATTTTGTCTCCTCTGTCTGAAAAGGTGAAAAATGAAGATTAGTATCCTTTAAAAACACAAAGAACAATACATGAATTACTTGTATTACACTTTGAAAATGTTCAGAGGGGAATATCTTTCAACTAATATGCCAGTTTTTGAAACAATAGCATGAGAAATACTACAGTGTTTTATTAAATGATAATGTGAATATTTGAAAGAAAAATTTGGCAAAAAAACAGTTATAGATAGGATAATGAGTACTGTAAGACCAATGATAAAAAAGATTTTTTTCTGAAAAAGTTAACAACATTCTGAATTTGTTTTAATTCAAGTATTTAAAAAATATATCCAAGTGAAAAAATTCTTAAATAAAATGTCAAACATCTAACATATAATTTTTTCCAATTTGCTGTTTTTCATTTATGTCACTATAAGGAGAACAAATGTTCCAAGTTTTCCAGTTTCCAGCTTTCCAAGCTATTTCCACACTAAGCATTATTTTGCCAACCTATGTGTATCTATCAGCACCTATAGTATCTATACTATATAGTACTGTAATATTGATGTGTTGTTCCTTAAATTTGCTGTACATCATTCTTGGATTAATGCAACACCTAGAGAAAATTATTTTCAATCATATATAAAGCTTCAAGACAACTCCTGCCCTATACCTACAGTAAATGGACAAATTTTGTCAGCTACACATAACTTCTGCAGGCTTAAAGCAAAACCTAATGAAATGTAATAGAATCTACAGGACCACTGTACATTGTATTTCCAACCAGACAGTAGAGAGGTCTCATTTACTTTTCCTCCTAAGGCAAAATGTGCCAATTCTTTGCATGGGATTTGGTAATCCATATAAAAATACTTAATTTTGCATATTTTCCAGGTATATTTCCTCCTATATATGAGTTCTTCTTATTAATCCCTCAGGATGAATGCATTATCGTTCTGTTTCCAGCGAGAAACAACAGGTATAACCATAGAAAAACAACTATACATATTAGGACAAAAGCTGCAAAGCTCATAAGGAGCTACATTGCATGTAACCTCTGATTCACACATGCCAAATTTCATCACATTTCACTCATTTAATGCCTACATCAAGTACCCATTTGCTTTCTAATGTAAGTTCTGCCATTCCACTATTATTTGCAAATTCTTTATGCAATGGCAAAATCAGCACATTACCCAGATAAAACGTCTAAGTACCTTCATTTAAAAAATGCATTTTTCATTTGTAACCTTTTCTTTTTTCTTCCAGCTTCAGCTTGTAGCCAGTGTATCTCCTTTGCCTTCACATGTTCTATTCAAAAAGGCTTTATCATAAAAAAATCATCCACGTAAGCACCATGTAGCTACAGCTACCACACTTAACCTTCACTTAGATAAATGAAAAAGACTTTTCCTCAATCTCACTATCTCAAAAATGTTCCTTGATTTTAATTTGCACTTCCTATATGCTAATTTTTTGGTGAATAAAGTAATAAGAAAAATACTTGCTTTATTTAGGATGCTTCCGCTGCCCGTAACTGTCCACTGCACTGCTGGTTTGGGGAAACCTTCCACATGGCAGATAATTGTTTTAGACATTTTATTTGTGTTGGTTTTCTTGGTCATTTTGATTTGAGGTTTTCCTACAAGAACAATATTACAGTAAAGCTTTCTATTTTAAAAGAACAATTAACAATTGTAACTATCTGCTTGCTTACCTTCCACAATAAGTTTAAGTGTCTGTCTTTTCCTCAATCCTTCGACCTCCTGTAGAGTAGTTTCACAGACATAGTTTCCAGCATCTTGATACTGAAGACTTGAAAATGATGGACTTGTTTGCATTCTGGTGTTGTCCTGATAAAGGCAGGAGTTAGAAACGACAGAGACCAACTCACAAGACATTAACCCCTTAATGACAAATGTGACAGGTATCAAGAGAAGTTTTCACATGCTTTGGGAAATTAGAGCCTCACTTTTTTTAGCTTTTTCCCCATTAGTAAGTACATTTGGATATACAGCATGAAAAGTGGAAACTGCTGGAGATTTACAGAAGCCATCTCCCTTCTTCTTGAACAATTTTGCTTTTAAATCAAGAGCATAGATGGGATCAGTTATTAGCTTTAAGTTTTTCTAGTAGGTTGGCCAAGAGCACGAGTGATAAAACATATTTGAGACACAAGCAGCTCTCCTTTAGGCCAGGCTTACAAGGTCAACACATGCTCATAAACAACCATTAGGCATCATTACTGTAAGTTTGCAGCACCACAGCTTTTGCATAAAGCCACCTTCTTCAATAGCTTTTTCACTATCTGACCTCTCAACCCTTGTCCTTTCATTGTTCATCAGAATCCAGACCAAGCACACCTCTAACAAAATGCATCAAAATTCCTCCAAATGGGTTTCTTTTCTCAGAAAAACCTTACTCTCAAAGGGCCTTGTATAGACCATTTAAAAAAAGTTGTATTTGTGTTACAATATGCCTTAATTCTCTCCATTTAGAAGCTGAGCTGATAATTACAGTAACTGATTTTCAGTCATCAATGTGAGTAGATCTCATTTTAACCACATGCGTAAGACCCATTTTAACAATATTCTTTAAAAAGCCCAATGAACAACTTCCTTCCTTCCTTCCAAAACACTGAAGTAGCAGCAGTAATATGAAGAGGTGAACACTCAGATGGAGTGTGAAATAGATTAATTACTGACCTTTATCCAAAATACAGTTGCATTTCTACTAGAAGAAATCGTGCATGACACAGGCAGGGCCTCTCCAATCTGTTTTGTGACTTCTCCGCTAGGAGTAAGCTGCAAATCCAAATCTGGGATAGAAAGAGCATTTGTAAAAAGTTAATCTCAGAAAGCCTGGCCCATTTCAGAGGCTTACCAAGAAAAGAAAATGTGACTAATTGCACTCATTAAATTCAAGATTTCATTTCTTCAATAAAATCTAAGTCAATTTTACAAGGAAGGGAGATGACAGAATTATTCTAAAACAGGCAATGCAGAACATTCATATTTTTGCTGTAATTATAGGCTAAAAGGAAAAGCAAAACCTCAATAATCACTAGACAAATGGATACATTTTTTTCACCTTGTTCTGCTGAAAGAATGACAGAGTAGGCACAAGAAGCAGAAGAAGTACTTCGCATAACAGTACGTGCATCTCAGAAAGGGAAGCACAAAATGCTCTGAAGATAGCTTACTATGGGGCAGGTAGAAATGCATCTTCAGGGGAGGTCTAGTGCAGGTGGTAATAAATAGTAATTGTGGAGAGAAAGGCAGATCCAGGAGTACTTTTCTTTTGTGTAACAAAACGAGAGGATTTTTATCCTCAGAATCTGAGGAGGATGGACAAAGGTCAAAGAGGGTGTATGAGACATGATACTGACTGAAGGGTTGAGAAGTCTAAATTAGAGGGTTGGGGAAGTGCACATGAAGCCCTTTATTTGCTCTCATTTGTAATTTAAAATGCCACTTTCGTGTACCTCAAAAAAGAGTCCAAGCTCTGCCTGACATATTTAAGCTCCAGGGAAATTGCAGTCAGCGACAGCTGTGTTTGATACAAGGCAGGGTGAGAGCCACTAACAGAAACATCAGGAAACACTGCTCTGGATTTTTTCTTAGTGTAAGGATTTGGTGGGCTGGTCTTTTTTAAAAATTTTAATCCTACAGTGAAAGAAGAACAGAGTTTGCCAATCCCTATTTTGCTTCCCCTCTGCCTTGCTTGTAAGCCAGGTTGCTTGGTTGAATGACTAACACAGATGTGTAACACACACAAAAGCACACACGACTTCATCTCAAATACAGTACTTGCAGGAAAAGGACTGCAAAGCCTCCTTCTGGCTTTTAAGCAGAGCTTAAGGAAAGCTTGAGACAAAAATCACAGAAGAGGAAAGTGAGTTTTCTTTAACAAAACAGTGAACTTCACTACTGGCTTTATTCAGTGGTTGTCCCGGAAACACCGCTGTAATTAAAGGTGGAACTTCAGGGAACAACCTGTTCCCTGTAGTAGAGTTCAGCCTGTACAACTGGTCTGCAGCATTATTATCTGTGTCACAAGCCCAATGTCTTGTCTGAGAGGTCACAAGAACTGCACTTTCATCTGCGAATGAGTCAAAAATCTCAATGAGATAAAATGGCATCTTGTTTCTGTATTCCCATGGCGATTTCCTATCCTCCCTCCTGAAACCAGTAAATAGAACCAAACTATTCTCCTGTGTCCTCTAGAAGGAAAAAAAAAAAAGAAATAAAATAACAAGACTCCTCCAGTGAGCAGTATATAGATTTGGATAGTGTATGGGATGTGTTTCTTTTTGCTTTGTGTTGCCCTTAAACACATTCTACAAGGGCAGAGGGGTGGATGAAGAAAAATGAAGAAAAAGCTAAGATTTTCTTTTTTTTTTTCCCCCCCTCAAGAATTTCCTTCTACATATACTTAAACCTTTGGCTCTTTGAAGGAAGATAGCACCTCAAACCCAAGAGATCACCAAAGACCATTCAGAAGGCATTCCTCATGCATTTGCCATAGGAAGCAAAAATTCATGGAAGTTTTTGCCTTCATCTCAGGCTAGACTGACACTGAGGCCAGAGGAACCCTTCAGCCCAGTCTTCCTCCAGGGTGATCTGACTGTGCCCTGCTGGCCCCCTTGTGAGGTGTCACTGGGACCACAATCCCTCCCATACCGTGGTCTTGGTTGCTGTAGCAGTTCAGGAAAATGTACAGTGCATGAGATGAGCTACATAACTCAGAGCAGCATTTGTGTGACTTATGAGGCAAGACAGAACTAAGCTACTGTTTAACATAGGATCCCCTCTAGGAGCTTTACATGAGCTACTTGATTTAGCTTAATTTTCTGCCAGTTTATCTGTAGGGTCCACAAAGAAATGTGATGTAATTACCTTTACCTCTCTACTTAGAAAATAATCTCTCTTTGGTACAGAGGTATGAGGAGAAAACATTTTTTGCATACAGAAGACTGTCAAAATTAAATCCTTGTCTCTCTTTCTCTTGTTGAAAGAAAAACTTTTCTGTGAGAATTTTCTGTACATTTCATGTCTGGCTTTGAAATGTTCTTCAGAAACAAGCTCCTCATCAGGAACCATTTTCAATATATGCTAGCTCTTAATGTGGTCTCATTTGAAGTCTTGCATTGATTTCAGTGCTATCTTTGCATACCAAGCAGGGCAGAGAAGAGACAAACAGTGCATTCTGCACGTATCACCACATCATGTGAGGATGGTATGGAATTAATGTGGGCAAGGCTGGAGCACACATTTCAGTTTGGAAGCTCTGGCACATCTAGGACAGACTCCCAGCCTCTAAAGAAGGCCTTCGATGGAATATTGTGCTACATCTGGGAAAACTATAAAGGTACTTTCTTTGTTGTCTGGACTCTAGCACATAAAATAGACAACTGGAAACTTCTCCTAGTATCTGGAGAATAGATTTTTTCCACGCAACATGGTGGTGATTTGCAACTTACAGGTGATTTCCCCTATATTTTCAATGGCTTTACTAAAAGACGAGACAAGTCAAGACAAGGCTATAAAAATATCTATAGACAAATACAAATGCTATTCTCCTAAGACCTTTAATTTACTGGACGGTTTGTAGAATGCATTTTAGCAGAAAGGAAAGCACCACAAAGAGGAAGTTCCACAGACCTACTTACTTCACACTAGGTTTTATGTGCAGAAATAATTACAGAATCATAGAATGTTTGGGCTGGAAGAGATCTAAAAGATCATCTGCTTCCAAGCCCCCCTGCCATGGGCAGGAACATCAACACTACACCAAACTGCTCAAATCCCCACAGCAACAGATAATGAAAGGGCATTGTGGGTTGAAAGAGCTGCTTCTTTATAGCTGAGGGAAGATATACCTGTCCTCTACTTCTGGGTGCTTGCCTTGCCTCACTCAGGGTGTGCTTCTACATCTCTGTAAGTGGCTGTAAACAGCTTTTGCCCTGGTCCCCTCCCTGTCAGGTTTGCTCATCTGACCCTGGGCAAACTCACTGAAGGAACAGGGCTGGCAGAGAATTCACAACCTAGAGTAAAAAACCCCAAACCCACAACATCAATCCTTCTCTGTTGCTCCCTCTGTAGAAGGACAGATCATGACAACCACGAGCACTCCGTTCTGCTGGACTTTAAACTGGGACATGGCTGCACAGATCCTGCTCTGGAGGGCAAGAGCTCAGGTTGTACAATTTGGCCTTTATTTTCCATGGATAACACAGGGAATCTTTCACCCCCCACCTCAATTTCCTTCATAAATAGTTTCCCTAAGCATTAGGAGTAAATCAGGTGCTTTAATGTCAATTTTCAGCTTTCTTTAAGTCTCATAATTTACAATCAACTTGGAAAAAGGGAGCCTGGTACTCTCTACAAAAGCTTTTTGAGGATTATGGCATGATAATGTTTTCTCGTACCATCAAGAAGATTTCCCTACCTAGGCACCAAAAGAAATCAGTGTCATTATAATGCTCCATAAAATTGGTTTGGGAAAAAAGCACTACAGCTAAAATGCAACAAATTACTATAAATAGTTTCCAGAATTTAATTTAATAGATTATATTAATATATTAAATATATTAATATATTGATAAATATAAATAAATATATTAATATATTATATTGCCTGCTTTTTGTTGTGTTAGTGGTTGGGTTTTTTAAAAAGAAATAAAAAAAATCCAAAATGCTGAGATTGGATGTGAAGAAATGAAAAGCCCTTACTCCTAATCAAGGTTTTTTTTTAGTGTAACAGCACAGAGAGGAATATTCATCCGTATAAAAGGTGAACAATAAAGCAAAAGAGGGAGAAAAAGTAGGATTTGATAGGCATTATTAAGTATTATCTGAAGGACAAACTACATGCTTCAGAAATGTTTTAGACCAGCATCAGACAAGACACTGAAGTACCTTAAAGATAGGCCATGGTCTGGACATTCAGGAATTATAGAACTATTGTAGGCCACTGCACCTCATTTTAAAAAAAGGCTTTATTTCAGATAGAGGGGTTTTGGAAAAACAAAACAAAATGAACCCTAAGTAAAGTGAAGCAGTAGGGTACTGGAGTGCAGCTCTGAGTTCTGAGTAGCTGCATTAGCTGCTAGCACTGGGAAGGCTCATGTCTAGAAATTACATGTTTCTCTGGCATAGTAAAGCTCTTCAAATGTGCAGACAAAATGGAAGAAATAGGAAAACTGGCTTGTTAAAAATAACTTGGCGCTGAGGAAGCCAATTTTTAGAGTAATTATTTATGAAAGTACAAGTAGACATGCAATCCACTTGGAGAAAAATTAAAGGGTCAGTTCAGAGCAAAGCTACCTTTGCTACCCAGCAGTTAAGAGGCAGTAACACAGGGCCCTTTTCAGGTTTAACATGCCCAACTCTTGGCAAACAGAATGGGAGAGCAGGGTAACAACGGATGATCTTATTAAAGACAAAATATTCACGAAATATAATAGTGTAATTAATCATGTACCAATATATTATGCATGTATTGTACCTCTTACAACGAAAAAAAAATCAAAACCAAGTATAGAAACATGAAATTTGCTTGCATGTAAAGTATAACTACAGTGGAAGCCTTTAAACTTCATTATCCTTCAGATACCTCTGAACCTGTCAACTATTGATGCTACTGTGAAGATTACACACCATCAGTGTTTTAGGAGGAAAGTACTACTCCTGTCTTGAGTTTTATTTCACAGCCTATGACAGTATAGCAGAGTTTGAAAGAGCTCCTGTTCTTGTCTCCTTCATAAAGAGATTAAAAGCAACTATTGTTTCAATGGTTCAACCAGTTCAATGTCTGTTTTTGAAGTGTTCCTGATAGTGTGACTAAACAGTATCCAGCTAAAGAAAATTTACTGAGCTCTTTAGCTCTCATGATCCTGGGAAAAGTAAAAAAACACCTGCCCAACTTTTCCTACATGAACATAACAACTTCCTAAGTTTCTTTTCTAGACTCTTTACATGTCAACCTTGTTGAGGGGATGGGAAGCTGACTATGAAGAATGACCTTCAGTGATATCCCTGTGGATCAGCTTCCACATTTGTCTATATTCTAGGGCACAGCTGAAAAAGAGTAATTTTCCCTATATACGTTCACATGAGATAAAATATGTTCACATGGAAGATAAAATAATAAAATTCTCACTGTATGTGACAGTGTAATAGAACCATATACTGTCCAAAGTTACATGAAGTGAAACTATCTAGCTAAATAATTGAGATGGTCAAGATTTTCCAACTGAAATAGATTTGAATAAAGAGAAATGACCGGATGCTCCTGTAAACCAGCGCTTCACTTGTTGGTAACTACACTGAGCTGCACACACAAAGCAGAGAAACCATCCCAGGAGGTTCAAGATCAATTTGCATCCTGCCTAGGAGTGCAGAATGCAATGACTTACAGTGCACAGTGATGGTGGTCGAGTCCATCATGCTTTTGTCTGTCAGAGAGCACTTGTATTCTCCTGTTGCATTTCGTCTCACATCTGTCATTACGTAAGTATCTGAGCTTCTTATTCCTTCTGTTTCTCCCTGTGGGTGGAAAACAAGACATTTACTGTACATGGGCCTGCTAAACCCTCTAATTTTTGTTGAATATTTTTTTAATTATAAAGGATGGTGAAATAGTCCCATGTATAGACGTGGCATCACTGAAGTGTAATTACCTATTAGTTAAGCTAATTTTTACTTCCTGTGTGATAACATAATTTAAAAAAAACTACTACAATCGAGAGCTTACTCTTTTAATTGAATTGCTAACTCATTTGAAGAGGATGTTGAAATACAAAATTTGAAAGTTTAGCAGAAAAAAAACCAGTCTACTACTAAGTATTGCAGAAATCAAAACAACAAAACAAATTGTGTTTTTAAATATGATTCTGATATATTCAGTTTAGGACAAATCATGAACTGAATTGTACTGCATTGCACATTTTTGAACAGCTCAAGCACATTGGTGTTTTGAATTAGCCAGCACATGTTGCTTTATGGCAGTCCAGTTCCCCCCTTTTCCCCTTAGATCAGCTTTGAAACAAGCATAGAGTAATAACTCTAATTCCTATCTCTGAATCCAGAAAGAGATTTATTACACCTGTGAGCTTTTCAAAGAGATCACCCATTGCAGCTCTCCTTGAGAGAAAGGACCAGTATCAGGGAGCAGGGAGCCTGAAGATAAGACAAACTCTGGTGTTTAGCTCACTCACTGTGATAGTGGAGCAAGGAGAGATACCAGATATTTTTTCACTGGCATTTAGTGAGTTTCTAGGATGACTCACTGAATCTAAATGGCTGTTCTGAGATAAGGACTTCAGCTCCTGGATCCCCTCCCTCTCTCCAGCAATTCAAACATGCCAGAAGTCCAGAGTAGATGACGATTATGTTCAGAGGGTGACATGCTGGGTTTGAAATATCTGAAAGGATACCACTTCTTCTGGCTTCTCGCAAGAGCAGCTCTGCTCAGTGCCTCAGCAGGAACAAATAAGGCATATAAAATAGGAGCAGGAAGCAGGACATGGGAACAAGGACCAGGAGTCTTAGAATATAAAGCCACATCTTTCTGTGGATTTCACCAGTACAAAGAAGATTGATGGTAACAAAGCCTTTATTTTTGTCAGTTTGCGTCTTACCCATTTTACAGATTTGTGCTGTCACACACATTTTTTGTGTTGTTACGCCACCAAACAATTAACTGAAGAAAAGAAACTGCACAAAGATTAATCTGTGAAAGTCCAAAAAATAGCTGAATTAATTTGCTGTACTTTCACAGCTGGATCTGTGTTAGGACAACAGATGAGATGTTTTTCTTCAAGATGCTGAACTGCAGTAATCCAAACTGTTTATTAAAATACCTGATGATAGGAAATGAAGCCTTGTATTTTTAGTAGGTCTAAACTCCTAAAAAATTTGGCTGGACTGGGGGGAAGGAGAGGTTTTTTCAAAAATATTTTGCCAACTGAGGTGAGACATTCTCAGAGCATGATATAATGGTCAATGTCTATCTTCAGTGTTTGTCACATCGAATTCCTTTCTTCATTTGTTACAAAACCACGTAGACACTGACATGCAGCAATGTCTGCAGGAAGGAATGATACAGAATATTTCACTAGGCAGTGACAGCAAGGCAGGACTTACTGGAATGTAAAACAGGAACTCCTGTGGAGGAGGGTTGCCATTTCCTGAGCACTTCAGAGTGATGTTATCACCCTCTTTAATGGTACTACTTTGAGGCAGCACTTGAATAGTCACCTTCTCTGTTGGGTCTGTGAAAAGAATGTACATATTAAATAGCTTCATCGTAATCTACAAAGCAACACGATGCATAAGATATTCATGGCCCAAGAAAATGCTATTTTATCATCCCGCAGCCGAAAATATTTGCATGTGTAGATCTTTTTATAAAAGAAGTTGATGTTAATCACGCTTTCTATATTTTTGCCAATTAAGTGCAAAGAAGTCATACGACATAAAATTCATTTTTCTTTTCCAAAATACCTGTAACTGAAACAGCAATGATTACAACCATGTCATGTGCTTTAAAGCAAAAGAAATCCTGATTAGTATGAACCATTTCATGGTGTGATTTCATTATGAGGGATTAACTTGTCCTCTGTGAAATTCCCTGTTTGGAGGACTGCAGCAATCAGAAAAACAACTGAAGCTCTCAAGGCCATTTATTAGTACTAGATAAGAGCCTTCTGGCATTAAAAAGAAATAAATATGAACTAAACTACTATGTTCAGCCTATTCTATATGCTGATCACTACAGGCTTTCAGAAAGATAAATCTGGTGAACATAATAGGACCCTTAACATAGTCAACAGAACAGTAAACGTAACATACTTCTGTCATGTTCACCGAAGTTGAACTATAACTTATATTTTAATTTCATAATTTTTTTAAAGCAGAGTATTCTTCAGCAGATCCTATTCTTTCTAAGTAGAGGCCTAAATATAATTTTTTAAAAACAAAGTAAAATGAACAGAATTAAAATAACACGGGCATATAACTCTCACTATTTGAATTTCAAAGGATAAATAAAATTCCATCAAAGATGCCAGTCTTGCATTAAGATACAGCACAGCGCACCTTATTAGACACTAAAAAATCTCCACAGCAGAGCAAGCCCTGGCTGACAGGTGATTTTGTGTGTTTAGTGAAGCGTGTGCTCTGCAGCCCTCCCGACGCTTCAGGCATTCATCACGTCTGTCTCCTGCGGGGGCATTTCTCAGTACCACGAGCTGCATCTCACTGTGGCCTCTCAAGCACTGGGAGCCCTAACACAGCCCAGCACCTCAGCCCTCCCCAGGGCAGGACAGGATTCCAGCCAGCCACAGCCTCCCTCCCACGGCCAAACAACCTTACACCTCAACACCTTCAGAACTGAGGCACAACTTTGTCTGCCTGGAAAAAGGAAGTCCAGCATCACTGCTGGAATGGAATACAACAGGTGCAATGAGATAGCTGGCCAGGAATGACATGCATGCCCCTCTTGGTAGCTGCTGGGCCAAAAAACTCAGTTTCAGGAGCTGCTGCAAAATGTCCTTCCTTCTGTCAAGTTCACGTTAAGGTAAAATTATCATAAAGAGTGTCTAGATATATACTGGAATTGCTTAGGCTTTGTCTCGAGACTGAAATGGGAGGAATTAATAAAGAGTAAGACTTTTGGACTTTAATTTAGAGTGTGTTTTTCCCCACAGAGATAAGCAGAACTGGATTAAAAATGGACACAGTTAAACAAAAGTTACACTCTTGAAAACCACCAGTCTTTTCTGTAGAAATATCCTACCCTTCTATCTACTGTATCAACCAGGAGCAAATTTTAATTTAATTTGCTAAACTAGAAAAAAAACCCCAAACCTACAGAAATAAACAGCAAAAGACTATTTTAACTGTTGTCTAAGATGAAGAGATCATTCTTCTGAGGAAGAAGTAGCCTGAGAACAGGAAGATGGTGTCCAGTGCCATGCAGAGTGGTGCTTGGTATGAATAATGTACTCCCCTGCTTTCGCTAAGAAACAGGAGCAGCCTGGTGAAGGCACATTTTGCCTCTCGGTGGCATACATGCCTGACTTGGCCCATCTTACTTGGTGATTTAGCAAAATCTGCTAAAGATTCTGCTTTCTACAAGAGCAAAATTCCAGGAGCCAGCACCAAAAGGCAGCCATTTAGTAAATGAATGCTGCTATCCCAGAGCTGCCCCAGCCACTGTGCCATTTCATGGAGAACACCAACGCTGGAAACAGCTTGAGAGCAAAGGGTATTTGACTGTGATCTGTTCTGTAAAGCAGTTTATCCACAACAAGACCGACACCTAACAAAGGGGCATAACTGGGAAGTCTGCTTGACAAATATTATCTTTTTACACTGATTAATGCTGAGCAGAACTCCACATAACTGGAGCCTAGATAATTAAACATCTGAGATACTATCTACCTGTCCAGCTCCAAGACTTCTCTCATAGTACTCCTTGCTTTCAGTAGCTTCCTTGCTTGCAGCTGCAAAATGAAGCACGTAACTGCTGCTAGCTGAGCTAAATTATCCTAATCCAAGTAACATCCAACACAGCAAGAGCTAATTCACTCTTCTCACACTAGGTTACAGTGGCTGGCTCCTTCCAGGATATGAACTAGCTATTAAACATTTGAGTACTAAAGACTGCACTAACTCAATGCAAAAGATAAAATAAAAAACGAAAACAAACAATAAAGCATTTCTTAGATCCTGACTGAATAGATATATCTTTAAAAAAAAAATCTTCCGAAGGCATAATTTTAGTCATGCTCTCCCCATTTTTTTAGAAGAAGTTGCAAGGAATGAGCAGCAGGTCTTTATGATTTTGTTCTATTGCTTTAGAGACGCAAAATATCATAGTTTTGATAGTCAGTCTAAAATAAAAAAGGCTGGAAGACTTCCATTTCTTAAGAGTTGGAGTCTGCCATTTTTTTAATCTACATTGTATTTGACTAATTTAGAAAAAAAGATCAGAATTATTGAGAAACTAATTAGGAATACTGAACTAAATTATAAAACCAAAACCAAATCAGACAGGTCTTTATCATCAAATAACAGCAGTCATGAAACACATCTGTTGAAACTTGGACACCTATTAATGAAGAATTCCACAAATTCATTTGGAGATGCATTTATTCAGAGCAAGGAACTGAAGCTACAGCAGATGAAAATACTCAGAAAGAAAATTGGGTAACTCCACACTCTAAAGCCAAAGTTCATACCTGAGGCCTTTTCAGTGCTGAAGGGCGTGCCTGCCTCCCAGTATTTGCTAATTAGCAGCACACTGCTGGAATTAATTAGATTGTGTGTTACCAGACCAGGACTGAAAGAGCTAGGGTATCAAACATGAAATCTTTATACAGAGGGCACACTACACACGGCCAGTGACCATCCCAGAGCCATGCAGCCTTTTTTTCCCCTTCATACTACATACTTCTTACTTGCAAGTGCATGTAGTACATGCACCACAGAAATCTGGAACAGCCTCACCCTCAACAGGTGAAGTGGCCCTAATGCATGAAAGCAGAGGGGAAACGAGGACAGCACAGCATCTCTTGGCAAGAAATAGCAACAAATACTTTCTGGTCATTACATTTCTTTCCTGGGAACGTCTGCCATGCACAGCAGGAGTTATTCATGGTCCTCCACAAATGACAGAAAAAAACACAGTGAAATTTGGTACTCAGCTTTATAAAGCAAAACCAAAAAAGTAAGAAATGCCACTAGCTCTAAAGTGATGGGATAGGTGTCTGCAGACTTGAAATGTCTATGGTATTCCCATGGGCAACAGCTGTCCCAGAGGTGTTCTTCTCTATTCGTTCTGCTGGTTGTCATTCTGGAGAAACAGCTGGTAAAAAGAGAACCCTAACTTCAGATGAAACCAAAGACCAGCAGCTCCAAGGTTTGGTTTCATTTGATCAAGGTCAAAACTGATCCCCTACCCTGCTGCTCAACAAATTTTACCTGTAGAGAAGAAAGGCAACTATTGTTGCCTATATGTCTAGGCAGAACATAGACAGCATTTCCAGCCCCTGGCTTTTGTTTTCAAGCCAATGGTGCATTCACACTAGCTGGAGAAATCCAGTGCCTTACTTTCTTGGTTTTCAGTTGGATTACACAGTTGTCATACAACATATTGCTAGGACATAGATGCTGGACTGTACACTTAGACCCTATCATTCCCAAAACAGGGATTCATCTTTTATAAGATGAGGTATTACTTGAAGTGTGCAGAGAGGTAGCACTTGACTGGACATATTGTCTGTCTCCTGTTCCTCTACATCCTGCTGTGACCTGCTGCCTTCTACAGTCCTCCTTCAGACTTGTCATTTTACAAGACTTTGAAATGTCTCTTTCCCTGGTCTCTAAGTGCTGCCACCTCCTCTGATCTTTCCTTGCCAACAGTCTGTTTTGTTTATTCAAAGGAACATTATGATTTCCACATCCGTCAGTAACACAGTAAGGAAGCTGCTTTAGAATTCAATCCAGTTAGTAGCAATTATTTACACAAATTCTCTACTTAAAAAGTAGAAAAAAAGTCTACTTAGAAAGACTTAAAAGTCTATCAGTACTCAAATGATACATTTTTAACGTGAAACACAGCATCTTACAGCTGTAGAGAAGCATTTTGTGCAAGGTAGACAGCCAGCATTAACTGCTTGGTGCTGGCTCTGAAAAGATGAAAAACATCTGAGTTTACTAAAAACTGTACTGTGTATTTACTATGTATTTCAGGGGGCACAGAGAGTCACTTTTATCAACCACTACAACTTCTCTTCAAATTCTCAAAAGCCTACTTCACTGTAGCTTTTTATGGCTATCACTTTTCTCTTGACAATGGAATCTTGATATTCAGTGTTCTATTGTTAGGAAAAATGAAATCTCAGGTAAATCTGAAGATAATAAGAATGACCTTGGTAATGTACTCAGACCTTCTTGATGCAAATCAGTTTTGAAGAAACCATTTCAATAGCCAAGAACTCTCTAATTTTGCAAACTGTTTTTGATTTTACTTTCCCCTGCCCCGGAGGTAGACTTTGTACAGCAAAAGATGTTTTCAGGTAACTTACAGTGAACATCGAAGACAACTGGTTCAGACTGCATTGTTTTCTGGCCAGATGGTCCATAATAAGTCACAATGCAAGAGAACTTGGCATTTAGATCTTCCTTTGTTGGCATGTACTGAAGAGACGATGTCATGGTGAAGAGTCCAGTTGTTCTGTCCACAATCTTTTGCAAATTTATGACCACAACTGAAAAGGAAATAATGTTGCAGTGTCACACAGACAGAATTTGAAACCTTTTTCCTGTATGCTATTACCTGTTCTGCATTTGAGATCAGGCTGCAAACACAAGAAACATGACATGTTACCCAAGAGATTGTACAGTTGTCCTCTAGTACTACCACTGAACTATACCAGGAAATTTTACCAAACATTTTACATCAAATCCAAACAAGAAAACTATCTGCAAACTGCTGGGGCTTTTAATACAAATATCAGCCTAATTTGTAAGATAGAAAGCAAGCCTCAAAAATTACGGCAAAATAATTAGAATCATATTTATTTTTTATTCATTCTCTAATTTATGGAAGGAAAAATATTGTAGCCTTATTGGTCTGTCAAAGCTGAAAAGATGGAAAAAACATAGCTGTTCTTACATATCCTGGAAAATAAATAGTTGTACAAGATGTTGGCCTGTATGGTCCAAACCACAATACTGAGCAGGTATGAAACTGAGACAGTTTACAGCTTATCAGAGATTGGAAATTAGATACAGGTTTCTATTAGTTACATAGGCTCAAAAATAGCTTTGTGATAGCAGTAATAAAGGCAATATTCATTCCTCCAGGTGATGTGTATTTAAAACTGGGACTAAAAGAGAAGGATTATGTGGTGTAGCTCAGGTACTCTGAGAGACCTGAACATCTCCTTCCAGCTGTATTTTTCCATGTAAGCAGTTTTCCCCAAAGGAACAAGACATTAGAATATGGCAGAGCAACCCTTACAAGCACAGTTCTTCATGCACACAGCCATGTGTGAGTCCAGGGACACTGCCCATGACCAAAAACATACCATCATCCACGGGCTGCAAAACTCTCCCGTTTTTGTACCACGTGACATTGCCCTCAGGATAACTGTCTCTTGAAACGCACTCCCCAAGCTGCAAAGCAGACAGGAATTAGTCACTTGTTTTCTCCACTAGGTTTTAACATCATTCTCTTCTTACTTACGTCGTTTTGGGTCAAAAGTTGTAGGAAGTTCAAATGCTTAACCTCAACCACTTCTCTTAAAATAGGGCATATCAAATCGGTGAGGTACAGTTTGGAAGAAGGTGGTGGGTCTAACATCAGGGTGGCCCTTGTTTGCAGGTCAGGAATAGATAGAGTAGTGGCAAGGCAACTGCTCTGTGCTCAGCCTGGCTATGGACTCACAGGCAGGTGCTCATTCACCTCTCTGAGCCATCACCTCTGCCTGTAAAGAAGTAAAGGGATTTCAGGCAGCTGTTGGGAACAAAACTGTGAGGGAGAATGCTGCTCTTACCATTTGTAGCTTCTCTGTTTCTAAGAGGTTTGCTTGATGTAAGATTTCTGGTTGAGAGGGTTGTTCTAAAACATAAATAGGATAAAAGTACTGGTGAAGGGAGCACAAACAGCTGTTTGAAAAACAAAAAAAAATACTAAAAATATGTGGACTTTTGAAATGGAACAAAATAATCTAGCCTGATACAGTCTTACCTACAATTTCTCATTAAAAGAAGAAAAGGTGAGGTACTTCTATTTCAATATTAGCAAAAAAAAACAAGAGCAAACTCTCACTTTAAATGTGTCACACCTTCCATAATGACTTCCACGTACTCTGACAATACAGCTTTTAGCCAGACAGACTAGTTCACCATCTAGGAGGAGAGAACCTGATCTGATCTATCTATTTATAGGATACACATACTGGAGAAGGAGCCAGTAGTACAGAAACTGTAGTAGAAACAAAAAAGCAGCTTTCCTACAGGTATTACTGTAGCTGAGCTGTCAACATTATAAAGAAACAAATTCAACCTAATCATTCTTCCAATGTTTATTTTTCCTAACTGGGATTATTACATTTAAAAAATTCAGATGATAGAGAAAAGTGTAATTATTTGAACCAATTCTGTGTTAGTTATGACTCTCTTAAAAAAATAAACTTTTTCTTCAGTGCCAGTTAGTCTTCTTATTTACTTTTATTATGGTAGATAGACCTCTTAGCTTGCCAAAGTGGAGGATCTGTCAGTGTTTCCATCATAAAAGACTACTTTCTAGGGACTATATAACTTGCCTGTTAAAACGGTTTGGCCAGAAGCCCGGAATGCAAATTTTTATCTCCAAAAGAGACAGTTTTCCCCACAATTTTAAAAGAAGAGGGGAAGAGTGAAGGGGAAAAAAAAAAAAAAAAAAAAAAAAAAAAAAATCAATGTCTATACAGTTAGGAAAGGCTCTTCACCCTATCTGTTTAAACAAGCATACTTTTACAGACTGAAACATTCTTAACCATGTCAGCTTACAGAAACCTTCCCCAACCCAAGCTTCCTCTGAAGCACTGCATGTACATTGGTAATCCCAGCCCTAAGTGAACTTCCCACTGTCTTGCAGAAGTCTCTGCACACACTGATGAAGTTACTGATGTGCAGATGCACTGCTCCTGCTGTCACAGAGGTAGCAAGCCTGTGTGTTTTCCCAACAATCCATTTTATTTGTGTGCGTGTTTACGTGCAAATGCACAAATACTCCTCACTTGGATGACTACCCCAGGATGGAACAAAATCAGGTCAAAAGGGAAATGAAAGTGAATAAAAGAAGCTATTCATCTGACATTTTTCAAATAACTTTGCTTGCGGCAAAAAAACAAAACCAAACAAAAGACACAGTCAAAGCTATACACAAATACCGTCATATTTTCTTCAAAGGACTAATAAAGATTTTTATTTTTAGGAGATATACGCATGTTTATTTCTCTTTTGTTAGCTTTAAAGGAAAAATGTTGATCTTTTCCATATAAGAACCTGTCGAGGACAAAATATTTTCATGTCAATTCAAGAAAATGTGGTTTTAGAAGACCATTAGCAGGCATTCTGGGTCAGATTTTTGGGTCCTATAAAGAGGGAGAGCTGCCTGCCCGTCCCAGTCACCAGCTGATCAAACCACGACAACTTCCCCCACCTCGGCTTTGCCTCTTTTGGTCCCCATCTCCCCAAGGACTGGTTAGAGAAGACCCTGTTTTTGGTGTGCCCTGCAGTGATCCTGGGAGGGAAAGGGAGGCCCCCTTGCTGTGTAGCTGCTGTGTGGGGCTCTCCCCATTTGGAGTGCTCTGTGACTGAGCAGATGTTCCTGTCGAGAGGCTGCCACCTGCTCTCTGTGAGCAGCCTCCGAGAGGAAGCGCCTGCTGCCAGATCCCCACAGCCGCTGCACGTGCACCAAGGTAATTCACTGTAAAACACTGACTTGGCATTTACCAGCTCAGCGTCTGAAGCGAGAAAAAATGTTCAACTTGGCAGCAAACCCCACTTTGGTGGGTTTGCAACTTCAGCACACTGCTTATCTCTCAGCTTAAGAGCCTGCCAGAGTACTTTGCAACTCTATATAAGCTTCATAATAGAGGGAAAAAGAATTCACTGCCTACAAAAGCCAAGCGCCGGTGCAGCAGGGCAGCAGCTCCTGTCCGCTGGGCTGCTCTGCTTTGGAAACTGGCCATTTAATTCCACAAAAAAGTTGCTGACAGGATCCATCTGGAAAGCTGGTAGTGCTTGTTTGAGTAGTCAGTGAGAGAGACTAGCAGGTGGTACCTGAGCAATGAGCCATTTCAGCTCCTTAGTCCCCAGATAATCAGGTAGCACAGCTGAGGATGGAACAAGCTCCAGCAAAACCCAGAATCAGTCATGACTTCTCGGATGGAGCTGAGTTTCAGGTGCGTGAGATTCTGGTTTATGAGGGTCACACTGCAGCAGCCTAGCTCTGTACCTGTGGCTCAGTGAGTTAGAAACTCCCCATATTAAATAAAAGAAGCTTGCCAGCTACTCTTAATTCTTCTGCAATTAAAGCAAGCAAGCAAGCAACTAAAAGTGGGAACTTAAAAACCAGACTCAAGAAAATTAAATGCAAAAAAAAGTTAAGAGAACCATAAATAAAGTTGTGAACGCAAAGTGAAAAAAACACAAAGCTAATTTTTCTTGCAGCACTAAGTTGGCCATATTAAATGTGTGGCATCCTCTCTTCTTATCTTCCTTAGTAAATAGAAGCTTTCTCTATTGGAATTAATGCACAGAATAAACCAGACAAGCTGTGCTCCATGGCTGAGCTAGCATTGTGTTAATGCTTAGTGGAGAACACAGTAATTCAAGCAGTTAGCGTTTCATTTTACCGTGTACCACTGCCTCAATCTCCATATTTACTACTGTGCAATAAGTAAACATGATAATTCTTTATCATTTCCTTTGAAGCACTGTGTTTACTATGCGTGCTCTGAGCACACTCCTCCCTGTTGTCATTAGTTCAATTGTTCTTGCAGTCAAATTGAAAGTGAAACGAGGGAATTACTACTGGCTCCTAATCTAGCTTTAAACTCATTTATGTGACTGATAGCATAGACATCATTGAGGACTCCCTGACACCTTCTACCTGAGAGAAGCAAAAGGCTGCCCTTCCAAGACACGAATTTGGGTTTTCAAGCCAATGTTTTTCATCACTTTGGAGCTGCCCATCCCTGCAGACAGTGTGCTCCCACAACAGACTTACTGTGACTGTGTAAATCTGCGCCTGAAGAGCAACAAAGGCCAAAAGCCATATAAAAACATGAAGCTAAGGAAGATGAGACACTGCAGTCACAGCCCAGTGTCCCTAAAAGCCACAATGGACACCTCCTCAGGCTGACTCAGGGTTTGATAGATTACACTTCTGCTCTGAATAAGCACCAGGAAGGGACCAGGCTTGTCCCTCTCCTGTGTGAGCTCTGAGCTGGCTGTGCCTCGCAGGGCTGGGGCTGGCACTGCAGACCAGCCTTGCCATCGAGCTGTAGTGATACCACACACTAATAAAACCTTGCTGTGCTCCAGGGGAGAACAGCAGAGTGGTACTTTGCCTTCCTGCCATTCAGCAGGGGACAAAACAAGCATTTGGGGCTGGTGGCTCATTTTCCAGCCTCTTGCTCTCTCCCTCACAGTTTGTGCTGTTGCACAGTAGCTGCTCAGAGCCGCTTCAAACTTCCCCCCTGAAATAATCCTACAGACTGCACACAGTTAATGTTTCCCTCCTGCAGAAAAAATTTGCCCTGAGAACAAATGGAAAATAATCAATGCTAATTTTACATTTTTCATTTCCAAGGCCAAATGACATCACATAAGTGAGTCATTATCAAAGCCTAAAATTCTCTTTGAGCCAGCACTTATCATGAATAAACTGCAAGTGCAGGCAGTCCTGTTACATAAATGCCACCAGTAGATTACATTTTTGAAAGCTGCAGAAATTTGCTAGTCTTAGTAATTTACTGAGCCAAACTTACTTTCTTGGCTTTAATCCTGCCTTAAACAAAAGTTTCTGTAATTTATGATTCAGATGCTGATGAATGTTGGTGGTAGTAACAACTGGATTTACTTACTGAAAACTTTGACTATCGTCGGCTCTTCGGAAACATCATCTTCTGTAACTAGCATACATACAAATCTCTTTTCATCACTGATTCTTGCATTCTTGATGGATAATGTGTAGTTTTCTGAGAGACTCAACCTGTCTTTGTAGTCTGGTACATCATCATACTGTACATGTTTTTTTGTTGATGATCTGAAGGCAATAAATACTGGAGATCCATTTGGCATTTCCTATAATAAAAGAATAAACACCTCTATTTTGCATAAAGAGTCATTTAGAAGTTCCTGAAGATTTGCAATTAGTACAAACCTATAATTAAAAAAAATCTGCAAATTGTATCAGATGGCTTTTTTTTCCTGATCAATTTCTGCTGTACATAGAAGAAATCCAGTGTAGTAACAGCTAGTTTAGGACTGCCATGGTACACACTGAGAATATCATCAATAGAAATTATTTAGATTCTTTGGCTCAATCTCAGCACAGCAAAGGGCTTTCTCTGATAAAAGCTGGTGTTTTTGGCAGCACTCACCACTGTCTGTATGAAAAAGTATTTGAAATAGAAGCATGTGTGAGCTAGTCTCAACAGCTCCAATTTCCTTTCTTCATTATTGTTTTACATATTCATATTGTTTATTTAGGATATTTAGACTTTATTTCAAATCCAGGATTTAATCAGGCATAACTGCCTATTTTATTCTGAATTAGTTCTTAGCTTTTTTTTTCCCTTTGTCTTTAAAGGACTCAAGAACTTGTAGCATGGGAATATGCATACAATCAAATATTGTTAATCTGCAAAGTATTGTTTTCTAGACATCCTTCTTATGCAGTTGCCATCCCAAGAAGGAATACAAAGTTGACAGCCTTGCACAAATCCCTCATATAAAAAAAAACAAAACAAAACATTTTTATGAGAGACAAAGTTACAGGGGCAGTTCTACAGGATTTGATTCCTTCCTCCTTATATAAACACATGAACAGAACAGGGACAGACAGTGTCTGCCTTTATTTAAAGAGAAGTGAAACACTGATTCTATCTTTATGTTCAGTATTGTGCCCAGTGCTGGAAAATTTTAATTCTCTTTTTTTATCCCTTATATCTTGCAGCACTGATGTTAGTAGTGCTCCCAGCACAATACCTCGAGAGCTGGACTGCAGAGTCCACAAAGGCATGATGATGCTGTGACCAGATGAGTGGTGTCAGAGCTGGCCAGGGAGCAGGAGGCATCAGCTGGTTGTGAAGATTAAATTCCCATACAGTCTTTCTCCCTCTCCTGCTTTGAATTTTTCTAATGTTTGTCACACAGAAAACACTGTCCTGACTCCATACTCTTGACAAGCTGGCTGTCAGGTGCAAACGAGCTCCTAACTCCTGCAGCCCACACAGCTGCAAGCACACACAGGTAGACATTGAAGTGAACAACAACTGCCATGGTGCAAATCTCTCCAGGTTCCCACTAGGAACCCAAATTACTCCTCACAAGGCAGTAGAAAAGAAAACAGAGCCCATCCTTCTTCCAGTGAAATAATCACCTGACAAAAAAAAACCTAATCCAACCATCTCTGTTGCCATGCCCTGGGAGATAAGGTACCACTTTCCCTTGCTTGTGTGGACTGTCAGCAATTTCATACAAAAACAACTTAGATAGGCTTCTTTATATGTTAGGTTTTGCATCTCTTTCTATTTAGAATAAGCTGCAACATCTCCACTTGCTGCTTGGTACTTGTCCAATGCAGACAATCCAAAAGCAATGGAAAGAGATAATGCGTTTCGTTTTTTCAGAATATCCTTGCATCATCAGAGAGATGGACTTGTGTCTTCCCAAGTCAACAGACTGAAAAAGATGCTGCAAAATGTAGGCACTCCATCTTCTGAACACCCACATGAAACAGTTTTACTGTCCCTTTTTAGGGAAAGATTCTCCCCAGATTTCTGACTTCATTTCCTGAAAAGCGTTTGCAGGAAAAAGAACTACTGAGTGGATGTGGGTTGCAAAAGCTGCAAACCTGAAGATAAAAAGGAAGTAGCTAGGGGAAAATATGACTCCTGCCACCACTGGCAGCTCATTCTCCTGTAAAAATAAGCTGGTGGAATCCATTTGCAAAAAGAGAGAACTACATAATTTTAAATCCACTAGAGATTATCTATTATTGCAGGTACATTTTGTTTGAGAAGAGGAAATTTAGAAGAATTTCACAGAGGCAGGAAAACCATTTGTCTCAAAAGAGTCTGAGAAGCAAAAGGGGTTTGGTATCCCAGGGTTTTTATCCACATATGCTTCCAGGTTTCCTTGGACTTTGATATGCTGATTCTCCTTGTGACCTGGGACAGCAGTCATACACAGGAGAAGCTCATCCTGCGGTGTTCCCACTGCAGGCTGACCAGCACACCTAGAGAGCACCTGCTCCCTGCCAGAAATGGCTGTGAAACCACCAGCAATGCTCCCAAGGCCAGCTCTGCTCTCTTCTCTGCTGTGCATTGAGCACAACGAAGCCTGAAACAGCTCCAAGTGACTGTCAGATCAACCAAAGACGGGGACAGTGCTTTTTCCCAGGGATGCAGCACGCTCTGCTTCAGGCAGCCGACTTCAAAAGTGCTCAAATGTACAACGATGGCTCTGTCAAGTGAGCGAGACACTACGGGATAACATGCCAGATCTCTAATACAGGTTGGCAGAGAACTCCTGAATAATTATTTCTCTTCAACAATGAGATTAATTCCTCAAACCTCTAATCTGCACTTGGCAGAAATTATTCAGCTTGGAATCTTGCAGTCTTACAAACACAGGAATAAATGGCTTCATATATGAGGCAGGAATTCCATCATTTGGAATCTTAAAATCTCACACATACACACACAAAAAATATACACCATCTTATAGTAGCTCTAATAAATATAAAGATATACTTACATATTTCCATTTTCCAAACATAAGACCATCTGGTACTTCTAGAGGACAAGGCATAGTAATAGTGTCTCCATATATTGCATTTACTGTGTACAATCCCAGAGCTAGAGGAGAAACAGAAAGAGAGGAAACAATTTTAAGTGTTTTCTTGAATTCCCATACACCAGCTAATATTTGGTTCACACGTATTGCAACAGCAGCTCCTTTGCAAATGGTTATTTTCCAGCATGTAGGATTTATCCTCAAACCTATAAGAAAACACTACTCCTGTCACTAAATTTGTTAAGTGAATGTTATGACTTTTTTGGACCTGCCAGACCATGCTTCCTGCCAGAGTCAATGGGAGCCAAGTGTATTTCCAAACAGGACTGCACGTGCTCAATCAGATGAATATCTACACTACAATCAGGATTGTCTCAATTTTTACAAAGGGAAAATCCCTAAACCTTTATTTTCTTCATCTGAAAAAAACACCCTGGAGAGGCTGTTTTGCCTCATTGCAACACAATATTGTGACGAGGCCAGCAAAGAAGTGATACTCAGACTGCTGCATAAAATTAAAAACATAGGAAATGATGAGAGAAAAGGGAATGATTCCTTGAATATTAAATATAAATATGTGTTATTATATGTGTATAAAACGTGTTCCCTAAGACCGGGGGAAAAAAACCAAACCAAACAACAAACTAGTCTGCACATTTAGACTTTGGAACAATGAGTGAATATGAATTCACTGATAAATATGAATTATTTAAGAACAATGTTTTTGGAAACCTCAGCACAATGTTACTATGCTAATGCATACAAATTCACAGAATAAAACTGACACACTTATTTACATTGTCCAAAACATGTGAATTGAACAAAAAAAACAGCCCCTGAAGTGATGAAGCGCTGAAATGCAAGGAAGCTTAAAGGGCAAGATGTTACAACGTGGTGCATTTGCTACAGTGCATCTTTGCTCCTCCTTTCCTTAGCTGCCTCTTGTTTGCTGCTCCTTGCACTGGAGATGGATTTTGCCTCTAGTGTTTGCCCAGAGACTGTGCTGTTTGCCTTCTCTCAGCCACACATCTGCAACTTCTGTCAGATTCTTTGCCCAGAGATTCAGGATCTCCCCCTTTGCTGTCTTTTCATTTGCAACTGCAGCTTAAGGGCTTGCTGCCAAAGGAACTGCACTTAAGAGACTGAAGTAAGATGCTGATGATGTAGCCAGGTGTTTCTGAGGATAATCATCCATTCCTTCTAAAACCATTAATTTTCCTGGAGATTCAGCCATTCCTTTCTATAGGTGGAAAAAGAAACATGCACCCCCAAAGACCTGAGCCACAGACTCCTTTGCTTTTCCAAGTCCTAAGGCAGCTGCCTGCAGGACCTGACAATTCTATATAGTGCATAGATGCACTCCATGGGGAGGTTTTTACAAGAGATTGTTTTTTGTTTTAAAGAAAATAATGTCTTTTCAAAGAGCCAAACACTGAATTTCTTGCCTGCAATTTAAGCTACAAAGACTCCAGAGCATTTTTCTCGGGTGAGGACTTCAGAGTTCACTGTTAACATCAGCTTGTATTTATCATGTGTATCAGAGTGACAAATGAGGCTGTGGGGCTTGTGCTGTGTGATATTGCACAAAGAAACAGTACTCCAAAATCTTTCCTTAGAGAAGCACACGGTTAAGGCAGAAAAGCAGGCTGGAACTTAATGGACTAAAGGAACACAAGAGATAACAGGCAAAACTATCCACATTTATCTTAAACTTTCTTTCCTTCACTCAGCTCCTTTTCAACTAAAACACTTGGAACTTTTCTGATGCTGTTACTTAATTAGTCACAAACATGCTTTAGAAGCATTATTCACACTATAAGGACTGGATGCTCTAATTTTCTCTACGGCTCACGGAGAACAGCAGTTTTCTAAATGACAATAGCGGTCATTCCACTAGGTGGTGCTGAGTAAGAGCAATCTTTTAAAATGAAACAAAATTTTTAAAAATATTAACTTCAATTTCATGGAAACAGAAGCAATGTTTTACAATATCAAGTGGAATTAAATGGAAGTAAAATTCAAAGCTGGAAGAAATTTTTCCTTTGGCCCTTTCTTGCACTCATCCTCATTCTGATCACCAGGAGGGGGGCAATGCAACTTTGGCTTTGCAAGTTGAATCCTAATTTTCATCTTTTTGCTACAGCTAGAAAAAGCTGCCCTTTTTGTCCTTTTTTCGTCTCCCATGGTGGCAAAATTACAACAGACTTGTAAATATATATTCAATTAGTAAACTGGTTAGTACCTGTTCAAATTCCAGCTAAGTGTCATTTAGTAATTTGAAATCTGTAATGGTTATTTGGCATCATATGGAAAAAAAAAACCTGCTCCTCTGATATGAGACACTTTTTGGTATTAGGGGAAATACTGCTCGTTGTCAGAGGCAAAAATGACCCCTAGGTTCTGAAATGCTGCTCTCTTCTAGATTTAGCCCCTGCAAAATTGCTAAGCCAGCAAGTAAACACTACTGAACACTCAACAAACAGCCTCACGAGGGTGAATGAAGATGTTTCTGGAGAAAAGCATTCAGAGTAGGTAATTGATGAATGGTCTGATAAAGGGAAACACTGACCTCTGATTTTAGAAATCTTTCAGCTGAAAGGTATTTCTTAAAACAGACAAAATCATGACTTGCCATAAATTTTGCCTATACTAAAATCACAGAGTTTTCTATGGATTTGTTAACAAAGGACCAGAAAGACAGGTTCTACTTTGAATACAGAGAAACAGTCCTTGCAAGAATACAAAAGATCCTTCTGCAAAATATTCTCATCCCACTTCTGTAGCAACAGATCTAGCACATTGAAGGACTGGAAATTAACTGAATAGCTGGAAATTTTCACTGCAATAACTGCAGTAATCTCCACAAAATGACCCTACCAAACTATATATTTAAGAAAAAAACAAAAAAAAACCCTCTCTTCAACAGAACTGGTAATTCCTCTCTCTGTTGCTCTTAGACAGATTTGTAAAATGGTGGGATGAAGAAAATTATTGCTTAATGATATGACAATTCTTACTACCAACCATCATATTGTGAGGCCTCTTTATATAAATTTCCAGCTCATTCTAAGAAAAAGACAATGAAAGCAGGATCTACAAATACATAACAAATTGTTCCATGCCCTAACACAGCACAGGGTCAATGCCAGGGCCCTCACTTCTCATTAACTCTGCAGGAGGGCGCAAAGGCGCCAGCAGGGAATAGCACTACGTCACCGGACATCATGTCTTGCCTTGCTCTATTTCTGGTGCACCTTTCTGTAGCTAATTAAGAGCTCAGCCAGCTTCCCTAGGTGATTTTCAGATGTTGTCTTCTAAAACTGAGCTAATGCTGTAATAACACCAGTAATTCAGAGGCAGGATCTTGTCCCATGTACACCGAGAGCAGCTCTACCTGCTCGGTCCGAATTACACTTGAATCACTTTCCTTCCTTTTCTTTACATACATAAGAGGCTTGAGCGGGCTGAGATTTACTTCATTTCCCTCTCTTTGATCCAGTGCTGAAGAAACTCTGAGCCAGAGGAGACCTTTCCACACTGGTTAGAACATGGGAAGAAAGCAGCAGTTTCGTAAGGTATGACGGCTCAGAGAAAGATCCCAGCAGGACACTGGTAAATTGAGATGACATAGCTATTGATGCTTTTAACTGGAGTACTTTCCATGTCCTCATGGCAGTGCTAACTGCATCCTTTGTCCTGCTCTCTTCCTGTGTTTCACAAGGGATGAACCATACAACACCCAACATTTCATGGGACAAAACAAAAAATCTTGAACAGAAGCTTAAATGCAGAGAAGGTGCTGTTACTTTAGATCCTCACCAAAAGTTTGAGGCAGGTCATACTTTAGACCAATTATTACTTTTAAATCAATGGGATCATATAGGAGGCATGCACAGAAGGTGAGTTAAAAAAATAAAAGGAATTGGGAAGCTGATGTTTCTCCAAGGAAATAACAAAAGCTGTAGGAAGTGTGTGGAAATCAGGCATGTTTTCCACCTTCCGTTCTCAATACTGAAACAACTTCTTGCCACAAACACATCATCCAAGTGCTTGGTAGTATTTTTGGGACAAACGTAAAACAGAAAAAGAGCTGTTCAAGCACCCTCTAGATGCAAGCTCCTTGTGAGACTACAAGCCTGTATCTGAAAACTGAGTAGCACAGGTACTGCCCAAGACTCCTCTGCGCTGACCTGCACAGCAGGGCTTACTTCCAGAGCGGTGCAAACCTGGGGAGCTGAACCTCCCTCAGAACCTTGGTGTCCACTGATTGAAACGATGTTTTACATCTACAAAGATGTCCTGTATTTTCCTTTGCACTTAATTTTTTACTGCTGATACTTCTGCCATGGCAGGTTCAGCAATGCTGCTTTTTATTACACTTTCTGGACCCAAGGAGCGAAGTCTATTACTAGAGAACAGCAGGACACATTGGCTGCTATGGTTCTTTGCAGCAATCAGCAGCATGAAGCAAGGGAGGTCAATTAGCAGCTTCTGTGATGGCAGTGTCCAAACTCAAGAGCTGTTATGTCTATTTAGCACCTACCTCAGAAACTGCAGTTAACTACTTTGGAAACTCTACATTAACATTAGCACTCCAAATCTTTATTTGAGGCATTAGCCCTCCAATCTTTCCTCCAGGCAGCATAGCCTAGCCTGTACTAAATATAATCTGGGAAGTTATAAAGCCTTGCCTCATTAAATAAATATTTTATCAAGTTGTTTTCTATTTTTCTTTCTGTCCTCCACTTCCTAAAGGATTTTCAGCTATACAGGCACATACATAGATCCTACTGGGCACCAGCATAAATGGCTGGTACTGACCTAAATTATTTTCTTTAGGAAACATCAGTGTTTCAAAAAAGCATGACATGTTCTTAAAATCGGGAAGGCACCTTTTAGAATCACAGAACCATTTAGCTTGGAAAAGACTAGAGTTAGATCATTGAATCCAACTACAAACCTGGAGCTGCCAAGCCCACTACTCAACTATGTCCCTAAGTCTTTTAAAGACCTCCAGGCATGGTGACTCAACCACTTTCCTGGGCAGCCTATTACAGGGCAT